CCATGACTTCGGTTTCTAGCCCGGCGAGCCATGATCCGGTCAATGGGGTTTCGAGTCGTGCTCCAGGACTTGATGGCGAGATGTCCCGGAGCGAACAGTTCCATAGCAATCAGGCATACTCGACCCCTTCGGATTGAGAGGTCCACATAAAACCTGCCGTGACTTGCTTGATTCGTTAGAACCAGTTGACGAGACCGTTGTCCTTACAGGTATGGTGTCGGCCAAGAAATTGCTTGAGTAACGGTGATGCTTCTTTGCGAATTCGGTTTCAAACGTCAGGCAGAACGTTTGGTTTGCCCATCTGGGACGGATTTGCCGGAAAGCTTAGCCCTAATGACCTACGAGACACATCGACGCATGGCGAGACTGTTCTATCAATGGTCGGGTAGTCTGAGCTTTCTGAAGGTTTGTATTTATGGAACAATCTGACAAAATGATGGGATGCCTGGCTCACACAGAAAGCTTATGTCATCAAGAGGCCTCTTGTTTCTTGTTCTCTTGCGCTGCGCTGCGTGCAGCCATACAGGTAATTGCTTCCACGTTGTTCTCGGTTGGTCAGTCGAGGCTGGCAGCAAAGGCTCATCTGTAAGACAGCGAAACTCCTGATTATTTGCGTGCAAAGTCTATCGGTCGCGCATTACATGGTCAAACCACGATGTTTAGAGTGGTGTTTCGCGAATGCAGTTTGTCGCACGAACACGATCGCCTTCGGCTACTTCCATACACTAGTCTCGAAACGGACAGAGCATAATCATTGGTCAACAACTTGGTTCTTGAGCGGTTGCAATGGGCTCAGTCAATCTGACAGGAGTCCCCAGATTGTGATTCTGCTCTCTCATTGCTACAGGAACTACATTGGTGATCATTGGTAGCCTCGCCCACTGGGTGCTTTCACACTGCCACTCGAAAAAGTGGCCTTGTACTTGTTATCCATAGCCTTTGATCTTTGCTTGCTTCCTATCCCTGTACGATCTGTTGTGGGCTGTGCAGCCATGAAGCTGTCAAACTCATCGTCGTCGACATCACCTTCTGCAGGCTCGCTGTCATCCTCCTCGCCTGCCTTGGCATTTCCTGGCGCAGGTTCAGTTCGAGGTATACGTTCGGGTATCTTCTTGTCATCCTCGTCTTCTTCTTCCTCTGCATCTTTTGGCGTGGGGTTGGTGAAGGGCTTCGATGCCAGGACACGGCGCCTTAGCTCTGCCATCTCCTCCTCATCGTCTGAGGACTCTGGGATATTGTAAGGGTTTCGCGGGTCGATTTCGTCTTCTTCATCCTCATCACCCTCATCATTCTCATCATCATCGTCATCATCTGATTCATCGATGACCCTTCGGTTCATGTTTCCGCCAGCCCAAACATCCTCTTCAACGCCATCCTCTTTCTCTTCTCGGCTCGTGTTGTATTCGCGCTCAATCTTCTCCAGCCAGACTTCCTCGGCCTTTTTGATTTGCTCTTCATTCTCGCATGCCATGTAACGCTTGAGCAGCGCAGCGTTGATGTCCAAGAACGCCTGGCCGTATGAGAAAGTCGACAGAATTGATTCGGCCCATTCGGGATGCCCAGTGATATAGTAGCAAGCGGCAAGAGCTTCGACGCAGTTTAGCCGCCATGGTCGACCGTAGTTTGTTGGGTTTGCAGCAACGAGGTACGGAAGTAGACGTTCGCACTTGCCACCTATCCTGCCGAACGGGACTTCGTCTATCCTCTTCCAGCTGGCTTCCACAACTGCAGCGCCATATTGTTCCATCAAGTCCTTGTCTTCGCGACTAAGTATCTTCTTTGCCTTCGGGCTAACCACGACACCTGCAAACTTCTGTCCAACGTGAAGCTCGCGCATCATGCCCAGGCGCATGAGCCTCTTTCCAGAACAGCGCTTGGCATCGCAGTGTCCGAGGTCCCAGCATGCGGCTTTAAACTCTGGTTTCGCAGGCCTCGGGTTGTCGCCATCGTTCTCATCTGCATCCGATGCGCGGCGGGGGCGGGGAGGACCGCGTGCTTTCGCGGGATTTTTGAACTTGTTGTTGCCCTTGAAGTCTTTCTTGTGGCGCACCATGTCGAATAATATGTCTGTATGTAAGAGAGAGGCGATTTGCAGGTCCTAAGTTGGGCGTGAGTCGCAGAGAGGGGCAAGATTGTGGAATAACAATTATTGAACATCGTAATCGATAAGACGCGCTAGTCCGATGACGTTGCGCTTGCTTCTATGAGCGAATGGCGATGGCGTCAAGGCCGCTTAGCTGAGTAACAAGCTTTTATAAGAGCAATTCATCTTTGGGGTACGGAAAATGCTTGATTCATGTTCTTTATAGGTCGACGACCACGGTTTCCGTGTTGCGGATGCTATGAAACACCGAGGCTCGGGATTTCTCCCATCTCGTTCTTCTGCTGTCCACCAAGGGAATATGTAGCCTTCCACCTCATTTTGACGTTGTTCCCCGACCCTCTTTGCACGTTGTTCACGCGGATGTTCTGAGTAATTCCGAACTTCTGATGTGGTCCGAGGTTGACGCCAGATTGTGGCTCCAATTGCAGTTGGGCGCCCTGGTTGTTGTTAACTAATGACTTCAATATCATCACATTGCACTGCCTACCTTTGATGCAGCAACCTGCAGTGTCAGACCAGAGATTGGTAGCGGTGTGTTGTTCGATACCCGTGATTGGATCAGCAAGGTAGTGTCCGATTCTCTCGAGATGTTGAAGAGAACATTGATGCTCGTGTTGGTGACAGTTATCTCCTTGGAAGTATCTGGCACAGCTGAAGCAAAGTTCCACTCGTCGTCGTCATCAGCAGTAGCGCTGCTTTGTGTCAAATTGGTTGACGGCGCAGGCATGCCACCACCCAGTAGATCAACAGCACCAGATGCCACCGGTGGGGGCTTGACCGACTGTTGGTATTGGAAAGGTGAGCCTTGGCGTGGTGTGGATGTAAGAGCAGCGAAAGGATCCGGTGTGCGCGCTGGCTGTATTGGAGGCGGTGAAAAGGTAGACGGAGTGGGTGACGTGATTTGGGATTGTGTTGGCTTCGGTCCTGCTGAGAAGAGATCGGTGATGGCCTGGTTTGATGCCTTTTGCGATTGTGGCACTGCCATTCCGGACATGCCTAGGACTAAAAAACGTCAGCTGATGAATGCTCGTTGCAACAACAAGCAACGTACCTGAGCCATTCGAACCTCCCAAAGAGATGCTACCCTGCTGTCCGTAGGTATCTCCACTCAACGACAGTCCTAGAAGATCATCTTCAAGAGCATTGCCTGCGGCTGCTGGCTGTTGAGGTGCCTGTGACGATCCTGCTGTCTGAGACACGGGCTCTGGGTCTCCAAAGTCGATCAAGTTCAATGTGTTGTTTGGACCCTGGGAAACGCCAGCACCACTGCGGCCAAGCGTGCCTTGGGGTATGTTATTTGCGGCTTCTATGTCACCCTTCTTGAAGAGCTTGTATCTCTCTATTGTTCGGTGTATGCTGTCGTTGATTTCGAACAGCTTTGCTACGGCTTCGTGGTCTTCGGAATCTTCTTCGCACATCTTCTGGATCTTTGGTTGGGCGCTTTGGAGGGCATTCGCAAGTTCCTGTCGTCCAGTTAGCTAATGTCACCATATTGACACCTCATTTGACATGCCTCAAAGACATCGCCCTCTTTGATCTGATCGCCCGGTTTGTAGCCCTGCAGCATCTCCTCCAGTATCTTTGCCTTTTGCTGTATTCTTCCAACTTCTTCAGCAGCCTTTGCGCGCCAATCGGTCTTGTTCCTGGTATCGTACCCAGCCATTACTTTCATGAGCTTGTTCGCTTCTTGCAGGTCCGCAGGCCCACCGCGACGGATCAATTCCTGGAGTTTCGCAGATTGTGCCTCTCGTTCCTCTTCGGCCATTTCTTCTGCCGAGCGGAGATTCTGCGCCATGTTAGCAGTATACTTGAACCGCCAGACCACCATGTACATACGTCGCTGGGGTTTAGGACTGCCGCATCTTCCTTGCGTACTTCAGGAAAGATGTAGCCCTTGTAACTCAGCAGCCTATGCATGTCTCTTATGAACCCTAGGTCGTCTTTGTACCGCGACGTCTGACATATGGTTTGCCGCCATTCTTCTATCAGCTCGAGAATCTTGTTTTGTACACGCGTCGAATGCACAGGCGGACGTTCGGGGAATCGGCGGACAAGCTCATTGAGGAATTCCTTTGTGCTTATTTGGAGGTGGAAGGGGTAGCCGCAATTCTTGACACATATGTCCAGGAGCTATCCAAGGGTGAGCTATGCGAAGTACAAGGTGGGGCAGTGTGGGCGTACATTGAGCGCGAGGAGGGCAACGTTCTGATTGCGGTGGTTGACGTAGTGCACGATGGTAACAGCTGCTTCTCGAGGCCTGGGACATCGTTAGCCTCGAGTGTATAGCGGAAGAGTGGCATGACCCTACGCTGAGCCTTTCTTGCTATTGATCAAGTCGGAGATCTCGAGGTTCAAGGCCAGGTTGGGCTCGAAGTTCTGCGGATCGCAAGCTTGTACTGTTCCATACTATATCAGTTTTGGTTCGTACCCGAGGAACGGCCTTGTGCATACATATGTAGCGCTGCAGTGGTGAACTGGGCGCCTCCCCGAATGCGCCGTACCGATCCCGGGTGGCCATGCGCGCAGACGCTGCCTCCATTGCGCCGCCAGAGAATTCGAGTATCGAGGCTGTAGATAGCGAGAAGTAAGAGATTCTAAGGTTCGGAAGGGCGGACACGTGTTTGCCGAAGCTGGTTGTATGAATAACGTATGTTCTAAGAATTGGTGGGGATTGGAGATCGCGGCAGCTATCCACCTGCTCGATGCCTTGGCGCCACAGTTGCTACGTAATGCGCCTCATTTCACATGTAACTTCGAAGCTCAACCTTTGTTTATTTACGCACATGCATGGTTCAAGGGTATTCACTCTGGGTAAAAATAGTTTCATAATAACTACCTAGGTCGAGCTCTTTTGCTAAACCTGCTGCTAGTTATCTCAAAGCATGAAAGTCATCTATCAAATCATCCAGAAATCCGCGATCAAGTACGTCGCGTATCCAGCAATACCTGCAAGTACAGCCTGAGTGCCGTAGTAACCAACAATCCTTCCGGGAGCCGTAGAACCCTTGATCATCAAGCCAAGCTCTGCGTGACTGATACGGAGGGCAAGGAGAGTACCAAGCGCGTAATTGATGTAGGTCCTGATGTAGCAACTTAGACGCGTTGTCTTGTCTCGACGCAGTGCGCTTACCTGTTGGCTCCGTTGAGCTCAGCGAGGAGCGCCACTCCCAATACCAATGGCACGTTCTCGGCAAAGTTCAGCTGCGCACGCGTGGCCACATATAGGGGATCTGTGACGCCTTTCGAATCATCCGACTTGTCACCCATGAAACTATCGTCAGCGTCAGCAGAATGCTATTGGCTAACTGATATGAGCTCCCTACGTCTTTGAGGTGATGCGGTGGTAAGCAATGCGGTTCTGGAGGAAAATGTAGTATGCCGCAAAGGGAAAAGCCCATGTAGCAGTCGCAGGAGCGAGAAGCGGCATTGGAACGCCGAGACCAACCTTGGTTGCCATGCTTGATTCAGGAACGGAGAGATAGTTGACCATCGAACCGAGGAAGTGGGGGAGAGGAGTTTATATAGTTGTGGGGACTTTCAAAGTGGATTTGGTGGAGAGAAGATAGGATTGTTTTCCGAAATACATGGATCCCGATTGTCGACGTCATCTAGGGGTCTAGCGCAGATATATGCAGCGGCCCGATCAACATTCTTTGGTGCGCCGTTGAACGGGGTAAACCTCACGAACGTTCGGGACTATGTCTTACGCGCTCAAAATACATATTTTTTGACAAAGGTCGTGTCCGAATGGTACGGTGTATACGCCAAGTCCAAGTTCTGCAACTTCAATAAGCTGTTGTCGTTATGCATTGTTCCACTGCACTAAGAGAGAAGAGTAGGGAACTCACTTGAGAGGAGTGTGAAGTGCAAACACGTCTGTGGTTCTATGGAATAACTATGGCAAGCCTCGTTGTTCATCGGTTCTGTATGCAGTTAGTTTCAGTGGCATCGCATAGGGAAGACCGTGCCTACAGGCTTCATGTGCTCAGCATCATTTTCTTTGTTGTCGTCTCGCACTTCCTTTAGCATCTTGTCGATGCCACGTTCATTCAAAGCCCTCTGTTTGCTGGGTTAGCCAGCTTCAAGGGCAGAGCCTTTAGGGCAAAGTGCCTGACCGAAAGACATTTCTCGTACTGCTCGAATATCGGCTTGCATTCGTCGGTCGTGGCAGTGCCTCGCAGAAACTCTAGATTTTGTCAGGAGTCATAAATGCCCAGATTATGCACTATTGCTTACTCTCACTGTACCACTTGAGGAAGCAGTTGTCGTATCGTCTTGGATGTATCAGTTAGTTGTACTAGCAATACTAGATAACATTGGCGCTCACTCCTTGACTTCGTTGCATTCGGGGGCTAAAGAAGCCGACATGTTGGTGAAATGTTGGTTAAGTGACGGCCTTGATCAGCATGACGGAGGCGGCGGGTGAAGGTGCGCGGCTGCGGCTATCGATAGGGAAAGCGCGCTAACGTGGAAATCATTGAAGGTTTCTTTCTAAACATTTGCGACACGCGCTCCCTCTCCACCCCAACACGACCTACGACATCGAAGCGAGACGCCACCGTAGACCACGTCATCGAGCGTTTTTTAAGAGGATGAGCGCACAATAGACACGCCATGGATTCCTTCAAAACGCTTCAGACAGAGATCTCGGCTGCCCTGAAGTCGACCACCAAGTCTGCCTCCCTAATAGGCGCAGCAGACATTTCCTTTCAACGGTCGCTCAACCCCGAAGCTGGCACACAGCTGGATGCTCAGAATGCGCGCCTCCTTCACCTTGCGCAGCGACTTCTCGAGAATGCTGCTGCGAGTTCGGACGCTGTAGGTCCCAAGCTACCCGACGTCGAAGCCATAGACGCCAATTGGAGGGGGGTTGTTGATGTCATCGACAGCTTGCTTGAGAAGGCCGACACCAGTCTCGATGAGTACACGGGTGTTGTCAAGCGACTGAGTCCCGCGACCGAGCAGGTGAGGAATACACATACTGAAAGGGGGGCGCGTCATCTGATTCACTTGCAGACAACCGCGAAGCCGCGCCCAAACATCGCCGACAAAAAGATTATCGCAAAGCCCCAGCTTAAATTTGAGCATTTGCCCGCCAATTACGAGTCTGGCGGCTTCCGCCCTTTGGTCACAGCGAAGCCGCACGCGAAGATACCGCTCGAGAAATGTTTGGAAACTTTCAAAGACAGACGCGGACGGGAACAGTATGACAGATATGCTATGTTAGCACCGCAAGCTTACCTTTCCCAGATACCCTCACCCGTACCAGACCGAGATCGAAACCTACGAATATCCTTCGACCGTATACGAGTACTCCGAGCCGCAGCAATACCCACCCTTCGAATCTACCACTGCAACTTTGGTCGATACCCCTGAAGCACTAGCTACTATGCTCTCAGAGCTGAAGACCGCAAAGGAAATCGCTATTGACCTGGAACACCACGACAACCGCTCCTACATCGGCATGGTTTCGCTAATGCAAATAAGTACGCGCGACAAGGACTGGATAGTCGACACACTGAAGCCCTGGCGGCGGAAGCTCGAGTGCCTGAACGAGGTGTTCGCCGATCCCAATATCTTGAAGGTTCTACACGGTGCATACATGGACATCGTCTGGCTTCAACGAGACCTTGGGCTTTATGTCGTTGGCCTCTTTGACACGTACCACGCTGCTCGAGCTCTTGGCTATCCTGGTGCGAGTCTGGCTTACCTGCTTGAGAGGCATGTTCAGTTCACAGCCCAGAAACAGTACCAACTGGCAGATTGGCGCACTAGGCCGCTCAGCAAGGAACTGTTCGAATACGCACGCGCCGACACCCATTTCCTCCTTTATGTATACGACAACATGCGGAACGAATTAGTTGAGAAGTCTGACTTCTCTAACCCCGAGAAAAACAAGGTTCAGGACGTACTGCAAAAATCGAAAGAGACGGCGTTACAGCGATACGAACACCCTGTTTACGATATGGAGATGGGTCTTGGAGCAGCTGGTTGGTACAAACTCGTCTCACGGACACCTGTGCAGTTTACCCCACAGCAGTTTTCAGTCTTCCGAGCTGTGCATAGGTGGAGAGACGACCTCAGTCGGAAGGAAGACGAAAGCCCGCTTTTCATCATGCCCAACCACGCCGTGTTCTCTGTAGCTCGTGCGATACCTGCGGATAAGGCTGCTCTCTTCAACGCTATCCAACACGTGTCGCACATCATTCGAGCCCATGCGGACGAGCTCGTAGCTGTGATCGCAAAGGCTAAGGAGGAGGGCGTTGGGGGACCGGAGTTGCATAGCGTGCTTCAGACGATTGCCGACATGCAAAAAGCGGAAAGGGCTGAGTCTTATGCTGCTGCTGCGAAGGTAGCAGAGGCGACTGCAGCTCCAGCTGTTGAGGCCGCAGCACTTGAGAGTACCGTTGCTGTCCCAGCTACTCGCGCTTCGTCTTCTGAGTTCTGGGGACAACTGTGGAAAGCCAGCCAGCCGTCACAGCAGCGGGAAACTCCCACCATTGATATCGGTCTCGCTCTGCCATTACCACCTCTTACCGCAGAAATATTTGCTGATGCAAACGGAATGACACAAGCTGCACTAAAGGCGGAGAAACCGCAGCACACTTTTGTACCGAAAGAGGAGAGACCTGCTGAAGACCAACGAACCGACACGTTTGTCGTCAGGCACCTCGGTAGTCGCAAGCGAAAGCGAGGAAACGCAGTAGAAGACGAACCCTCCACCACAACGCCAGCCCTCGACCCTATGACCAACGACGAAATCATGCTAGACGCATCCGAGGAAACACCAGACGCAGATCACGCACATGCCAAGGCCGCTAGGAAAGCCGCACGTAAGCAAAAGAAGAAGAATGACGCTGCTGCCCGCGCCGCTGGTCTTGACTACGGTAACGAGCCTGCATTCGACTACGCAAACGCCAAGTCGGTACTGCATGCAGAAGATGGCGATGGCAAGAAGAAGAAGAAGGACAAGAAAAAGAAGAGTGCAGCCTTCGCGCCTTTCTCGGGTATGTCCGATGCACCGAAGGGACTACCGAGGGCGCAAAAGGAAGTCCCAGGACGAAGCAAGACGTTTACAAGATAGACGTGGCAGTTTCGAGGCAAGGGAGAAGAGCATTGCTTTGCGTTTTTGCGTTCTTGTACATATACCTGCATCATGATACCAACCTAATTCTCGAGGTGTCAAAACAATTCAAGGAGAACTGCTCTAATGGGCTTACTGCTACTTGGTCGCCGTTCCTACGCCTCTACTCTGAACATGAGTGATCCATCACTACCTACGAAGCAGCTCGTCTCTATTGAGCTGTACCTTGTACTGGAAAGACACCCGGAAGGTATACACGTATAATATTGTAGAGTTATCGCCACACAAAGTACGGTGGATACATTTAGTATGCATTCTGAGCATTGTACGAAGCTATAGCAGTAATGTCCGCTGCCTGATCCCTGGGTCGTGAGACAGTTGGGGAATGCATACACAAATCCCTACCAACCCTGTCGGCCACTATTCACGCAATTTGTCCATGTAAAACCTGATAGAATTGACCAAAGTTTCCCTTGCCGTCCTTGCCACCATCTGGTCCGTTTACGTTGTCCATGACGGCAAACACGACCTTCTCCCACCACCCTCCTTGGAATTCTGGCTCTCGAAAAACCTCAAGAAAGCAATTTGCGACGTCTCGTGGCGGATTGGCGAATACACCGCAGCCCAGTGCGCCCAACACGAGCTTTCTGTGTCCATGTCGAGCAGCAACGCGCAGTATGAGGCGAATGTTCTTCTTGGTGTGAGACCTTACGCCAGGGCTTTTAAACGCTGTGCCGTCGTTTGATAATTCCGGTTGACGAAGTGCTGCTACGCTGATGACGGAAACTGCGGGCAGGCCAGGCGGACAAGTGTTACTGTGTAACTTGTGGCCTCTTGACATGGATTCGCGTATTATGACCACGTTTGGTGAGTATATGGCAGAGAGAGGGGGTATTGGGTAAAGTTTTCGGTTGAGCGAGAGGTAGAGCGAAGAGCGGTAGCACAGACATTCCTCCTGGGCGAGGGCGCCCTTCTGCCAGCCGCCTCCGGGTGAACGCTCGGAAGCAAGGTTTAGGACTGCCACTGGGGTCACCTTCTCAGTACTGGTATCCGACCTTTTCTTGGTGACATGCTGGTTGACGGTGTGAGAGGGGTCTAGCTGGATTGCCGCATCGAATGAATCCATATCGAGTACTTGAATAGTACACGGTGTCGTTAAAGCTGGGCATAAGTCCGCCGGAAGAGGAGCTGAATCTCGATGATTCAGATCTTCGAGAAAAGACCATTCAACATCAAACTCCGGTGGAAGCTGAGCCCGGACATTCGGGAGTGCTTCTTTGGTCTCGTCGGCAACTAGTTTGAGACTCATGTTGCGGCGGCGGTCAGGGGGTCGCTTTTGGTTAGATGAGTGATGTTTGTGAGCGTTGGTATTATTGCGGCGGTAAGGTTGATCTCGATGAGAATGTTGTGATCGAGACGACTCTGGTCGTGCCGAACCTGGCTTTTTAAGGAAATCGAGGATGGATCTTTGTTCCATGATTGCTGGAGGGGAAAAGGTAGGTGGTAAGGAGCGCTTTCAATGTCGTCGAAGCAGGAAGCCACAATGACCGAGTGTTTTTCGTGAATCCACAGGGTACTTGTAAATGAATACCGTGTGCGTTGCGGGTTCTGCTGCATAGAGCTGCCTGAGGATGCATAGGCCGAGGGATCAGAAGCTTTTAATTAGAGTCTTGTGACGCATTTATTGTGCACAGAAATGCCTGATGGCATCGAGAGATGTATCAAGAATGAGGAAGGCGCATAAAGATTGATGTAAGCAAAGACTCATACAGCCATATCAGGCAGCAGCAGGCAAGGAACGTGCTATGTGAGCTCGGAGCTAGTGCCTCTGAGGCATGCATGCGAACATTGAATCGCAGCCGCTAGGTCCATAAATGGCTCGCAGTGTTCGACGTGCATATGGACATGACAGCAATAGCCGGCCCGCATATATCATGTGCCTTACAGTGGTTCCAGCAAGGGTCTCTTTCAGCCCTACAATGGGCCTGTGCGTCTGCCCCACATTCGCGTAACCAACAGCCATCATGTGGGATTTGGGTGCTCTTCCACTCACAACAACAATACTCCTGTCACCTTCACCAACATACTTCAGCGGTATTCCTCATGTAATTCTGGCACCCTATCATCGGCGAAATGCCTACGCACCTGGCGCATCCATCTCCGAAGCGCAAGCGCGATCAACCCGCGCCTATTCCTCTGCTCAACACGGCTCTGGCCCTGCGTCCCGCGTCAACACCGCCACGAGGTAGTCCCGCGCCTTCGTCGGGCGCCGATAGCCCTCGAAATGCAGTCGCAGACACGCTGCGAGGTATGACCCTCACTGCGCTCTCGGAAATACCCATGTCCCCGCTCACACCTACCGACGATGTAATACGCAAGAAGCCGAAGCTCGATGCTATGAGAGCAGACAGCGGAACTGGCTCAGAAATATATGCAGCCAACGAAACACCGAACAGCTATACAAATAGGAAGCATATAGATACTATTGCTACGACACCCGAGATGGAGGTCTCTAGGGTGATACCAGAGACCCCTCAGTCGTCGCAACCCCGCTTGTTGCCAGATATCGCTTCTTTCGCGCAAACCACCAGTTTTGTTTCGTCGCCCGCAACAACTAAATCGCAGCCGTCTATATCCACACACGAAAAGCTTCGCGCGCAAAATCGATCGTCTTCGCAACCCCACCCTCGGGCTAGATCACCGTCGCCGCCAATGTCGACTCTCACGTGGCGAGATAGTGAGATCACGGGACACCTGGTCGATCCGTCAACTGATCCAGATGACGATGGTACTGGGCTCAATGGGATTGGCTTTAGACCCACACCAGCATTAGCATATGCTAGATCGCAGAAGCGACGACAACAGTTGACAGAGTGGAAGCTACGGGAGACTCGCGAGGCGAGAGCAAAACGTAGCGAGAGGCGGAAGAGAGGCGTCAGAGATATGCCTTCAAGGGAAGTCACCGTCGAACGGGAAGTCATGCCCGTTACTAAGATTGAGACCACGAAGCGGACAGTCAAGTTCGCTATATGAAATGTCGAGGAGTTAATCATAATTTCCAGAGAAGTGTAATCAGATGGGTAAGCCCCAGTAGGGACGATGACGATTTCATGATATTTATGATACGGGTGATGTTGGATTAGCAGCATCCTTGGAGTATGGCGCGAAAGGGTGTTTATCTTTCCACGATATATTTAGCATATACGATCATGGCGCCTTCTGCTGAAGTTACAGTTGTTACAGATTCATGCTCAAACATGCTTTGCCGTCTTGTCGAATGAATTGGTCGCGTCTTGAGCCTTCGGATACTGAGCGGACTTAACACCCTAGTGACCGGCTTCAAGCACGTGAAAGTGCGCACCCCAACACGCGTCTATGACTTCCTATTCATCGCTTGCGCCTCAGTGAGAGTGGATTGTTGGATTCTTAAAGCAGATCTGAGCATATACAACATGGTATCCATGCTGCTGTGCTGCACAAGTGCATCGTCTACAAATGCTTGTTTGTACCTAGGTAACTGGCGCTGGTTGATCCATGCTCCCAGGGCTGTCTTCGTCATCACCGCACTCTTACGTGAGACCTTCTTCCTACTATACCACCATGACTTAAGAAGTTACCTGAAGGTAGCAACGCTTCTTCATCTTCAATTCTCACCCATACCACATAAAGAAACGATACCGTTCAATCAACCGAGCGCCCATGATGGTGCAATGGTTGCGCCTTGCCTCGCTGCTACCTTGCGCGCTAGCTCTCAGAGCCAGTGAACCGCCTCATCACGCAAGACAGGTCGCTATCATAGGTAAGAGCACATTTATAGAAGATGGTTATGCTGGTACTGAGTCCCAGCAGGTGCAGGTGCAGGTGGCTCATCCGCTGCGTACCATCTCGCCCAGTATGCCGCCGAGGCAGGCATTCCGACAAACATCACCGTCTTCGAACGTAACGATTACATTGGTGGTCGCACAACGACCGTGAACCCATGGAACGACCCAACGATTTCAGTGGAGTTGGGCGGCTCCATCTTCGTACAAAGCAATCGCATAATGGTGAAAGCCATGGAGGAGTTCAATCTATCGGCTGCCGGGCACGATCTCGCAGCCCAAATGGACATGCCTGATCTGGGCATCTGGAATGGACGTGAATTTGTTATCGTGACAAAGGCCGGAGACACTTGGTGGGACAAGGCGAAGCTGCTATGGAGATACGGTGCTGCGCCACTTTGGACAAACAGGCTGATGAAGAGTGCTGTGGGCAGATTCTTCCAGATGTATGATGAGCCAGTGTTTCCGTGGAAGAGCTTGGGCGACGCTGTCGAGCGAGTGGGGTTATTGGAAGCCACTGGAGTGACGGGAGAACAGTATCTCAAAGCAAACGGCATTGGCGAGGCGTTCTCGAAGGAGATCATCCAAGCTAGCACTCGTGTCAACTACGCTTCGAATCTGCCCTACATTCACGGCTTGGAGACGATGGTATGCATGGCAACAAATGGAGCAATGCAGATCGAAGGAGGCAATTGGCAGATCTTCGCGCATATGTTGAAGGCCTCTCGCGCCAATGTTCATCTCAACACCTCTATCGCCAGAATCTCCAAGCAACAGGATGGCAGCTACGAAGTCACTACAGCTGCCGGCCAGACCTCCGTATTTGACGAAGTTGTCCTCGCAGCACCTCTTCAGTACTCAGATCTTGATATCCATCCTGCGCCACACCACGTCCCTGATGAGATACCTTATACGAAGTTGTATACCACTCTTTTTGCGTCACCTTTCAGGCTGGATCAGAAAGCATTCAATCTAGATGCAAAGACGCCTGTGCCACAATACGTCCTTACTACGCTACCGCCAGCTGAGATCCCAGTGGATGGCGCCGGCTCGCCCAGCTTCTACAGTATATCCGTATCCGATGCTGGCCTCAACCCAGAGTCGTCTCCGATTCGATTTGAATACATCTACAAGATCTTCTCACCCTTCCGTGTCAACGCCACATTCCTCTCCCACATCCTTGGCCAAGATGTCTTCCCCGAGGAAGCCGAACACGGTAATGTCAACGGAACCGTGAGCTGGATTCATCACAAGCTTTGGTACTCGTACCCGAGAGAATACCCGCGTGTGACATTTGAGGAGATCAAGCTCGACGATGGCCTGTGGTATACTAGTGGTATTGAGAGCTTTATCAGCACTATGGAGACAAGTGCATTGAGCGGGAAAAATGTTGCTAGATTGATCAAAGATGAATGGGTTGCCCAGGGACTTGATGACAGTTATTCGAAAGCTCGGAAAGATGGCGCCGACGATGAGCAGTATCAACAAGAGCTATAAAGGTCGCGCTTTACCAATGCCAACGCAAGCCACGATGTTTTAAACTCTAAAGAAGTGCATGAGAACTGCTACGCCAGAAATGGCACCATTACTGATAGAGCAGCCACTTCGGCGAGGTAGCAGCACAGACGCTACGTTTCAGGCGTACTGTTTGTCCAGCCAGGTCTCTGGACGCGCGACATTGGTCGCTAGCACCAAATCTGGCGAGGCTGCTCTTCTGCTAGTCATGCTCGACATGCCTGGTGCCTTTAATTGACACTGTTAGCTATCTTCCTGACCATCTCCGACCAATCGGCTCGGGTACCGCTGCGTGAAATCTGGAACGCTAGATGGTCTGAGATCTACGACAGCCACGCGAGATAGCCGACGATTCGACGTTTTCCCTTAGCACCAGATAGAGGGCTAGTCGTGCGTTGACCTTGTTGGCGTATTCTTCGTTTTGTATGAATGATTGTATCAAGTCTTGTTGCTATCTGACGACTTAATTGTCAACATCTATGTCAGTTTCTGCTTGCCCCTCTTCATTCTTATCTCATGATGACCATGAGCCCACTAATTAGCCACACGCTACAAGAATAAACTCGCATCAAGATCTTGAGAAAGGCGCATGAACGAAGCTAATCAACCATCCGCTGAACTGGTCGTCTGGCCTGTGTGTGGCGCTCCCATAGGGCCTTGGGTTCACCCCCAACGGAACCACGACGATCCCCCGGACGTCCTTCCGCCATTAACATTAAACTTCCGAAATTTGCACTAATCACCACGCAGACGAAGTCCCTTCAACCCTAATAGAAGGAGCGGCGTGACTAGCCAGGGCTGTCAGTGTACAAGATTCGATGGCGCACACTCGAGCCTTGTCCTGCTTGAGTGCGGCTCCGTTAAAGGGTCAATTGTACATGGGCTTCCTATTTCTCCCTGTTGTACCCTGGGCTGAGGCTCGTGAACTGGCTCGTGTGCTTTCATTCCTGTTTCGTCGTTATCATACGATTTCTTACATGCCTGCCTGTTTGCGCCATATCGGATTACTGTAACTTGCAATACCTTGATCGACTGTGAGGTGAAGATACAAAACAACATCGCGATCATGGTAGCACAAGACTATGTACCTGCGCTGGTACCGCGGGCTGGAGAGATTATTAGCATCATGTTACAGATCAGCACATTTGGTGTACTCTCCGTTTGCATAAGTAAGTCGTAGCTTGGCGATGCTGCCGAGAAGAAACAGAAATTCTAACAGCGTGTAACAGTGCGACGAACACAGTTTATTCAGAAATGGGCTGCACTTCCTTTGGCGATGTGGTGTAAGTGCAACACGATACATGCTTACGAGCATCCTGGGAAAGTATATGACGCTGACGGCCTAAAACAGTAATTCTCATCATCTACTGCGACTCGGCGTTATTCGTATTTGCAACTGCGATTGTGGTTCATGGCTTTGGTATCAACTCCTCGCCGCAAGTGTGCGAAGGGGGAATCTTATTATGTAAGTGCACAACAGTGGATACATGGGAATGCTTAGAATCAAGGCTCACCACTGCACAGGTCTGATATGTTACATGACTACCAAGATTCTCATCTATTATTTCCTCGTCGAGAAAGCATATGTGGTTCGAGGGAGTATGAAGCCTCGCATGAAGACGAAGCTGTGGCTCTTCAACTGCCTTTTCATGCTGTTACCATACACCGTCTTTGTCATTATGAACTTCATCTTCCGAATCACCTACATCAACGACTCCGGCGTGTGCATAATCGGTATGCAAAAGATCGCTATGCTTCCGTTGATCACTTTCGAGGTCATTGTCAACGTAAGTATTCCCTTCTCCTCAGCTGGCTTATATCGACACCAGAAACTGATCTAAATTCAGGTCTACCTGACCGCCCTCTTCATCATTCCCGTCCGAAACCTCTACTCTTACAAGCACAACGCAAACCCTACGCTCCACCGCATGGCCAAGCGCTCGCTCATCGGCTCCCTTGCTACCCTCACCACCTCCGTCATCAACCTGACCATACTCATGGTATTAAAGGGTGAACCAGGTTGGATCTGCCTTATGTGCTGCAACGCCGATATCTTGTTCTGCGTAATAGTCCTACACTGGGTCACATCGAAAGACAAGCAGACAGTGACTACAGACCCGCACAGCGGTTACGGTAACGGCACGATCGGCTCAAGAAGCGGCACAAGATCCGACCAAAGACGGAATAGCAAGATGACCTACGGAGAAGGAACAAACGAAAAGAAGACCGAGATCATAACTATCAAAGGAATATCTGAAAATTCCCAAAACTCCAACAGCATCAACAGCACCAACGCTTCCCGCAACAATAGTGGTAGCAGCTCCCGTAGGCCTAGTCTCAACGTCTTCCCTACCGTCATGTCCAGCAACCCACATCATCGCCCTCAGACCTCACCGCGGCTCATGCCTTCTGGTGTCACAACGGAATGCAAATCTTCGTCTCCTACGCAAAGCAGGCTTCGTGCCCCGAGCCGCGGTCTGTACCGTACGCCTACGCGAGAAGAGTTTGGCGATGAGGTTGAGCTGAACAACATCAGAGTTGAGACTATTCACACAAGAGAAGTGGAGATTGAAGATGACCGGAGAGAGCGGACGGAGAGTGTGAGGAGTGATGGGGAGGAGTGGGTTGGGCATGAACGGAGGGTTGTTGGTGAGGGAGTTGTTTGATCTTGACGAGTAATGTTTGTACAGCATGGTCTTTTCAGGTTTGTTGATGCGTTTTATACCTCTCATTTAGCATTTTCGGGTCAGGGTACCAAAACTAGATATGCGTATACCAAAGTCAGAAGACATCACATTCACGCCGTTTTCACAGTTTATGCGTCGCAATGGGAATCCAAATGTGACCCGCTCCATGAAAAAGCCAGATTCTATAATTGTTTGACCTAAAGAGAAAGAACAGAGATCTCTTGAACGCCATGATTGACAAATGAATTAAACAGCGCACTATCACCATCATGCTATGAAGGGGAGAATCTCTGGCCTATCAATAACACACAAGACTCACATTATCGTTCTCGCAACTTTCCCCTCTCCCCCTTCTTGAGCAACTGCCTTCCTCTTCTCCACCCTATGTTCCAACAACCTTTCCACATCGCGGACTAGCTTTTGCCCATGTGTTTCGTAGCCTTCGACACATCGCATATATGTAGAAACGTCGTCAGCAATCCGTAGAGAGTGTTTGACGAGAGCTAGAACGCCGCGGCGTATGTCTCCCGGTGAAACATTTTCTTCGAAACTATCGGTATCGTACTCCTCATTGTGCGAACGGGATTTGGGATCGCCACGGTTCTTAGATGTTAGGTATTCTGAAGTATCTTTAGGAGCGTAACCTTTTCCTGCGCGAGATGATGCAGGTGTCTTCGCGGGGAATGCAAGCTTCATGGAGGGTTTCTTAGGTGGCATTTTGGCCTTGTCCTTATCTTTTGTTTCGACGGCACGTGAGGCTTTCTCCGATGGTGACTCATTTAAGTTCGAGGCTTTTCTTGTTCTCTTGCCGTCGATTATGTTCTGAAGGTTGGTAGGATCGCCGAATATCTCGTTGGGCAGGACAAGAGGATGATCTATGTACACATAGCCCTTAATGGACTGCGTACCGCTCGATCTAGGGCCTGTCTTGTCTCTTGATGATGATTTTCCAGCGTTGGCTTGGCTGTAGTCATGAGTTGCAAAGGAGACTGTCTTGCTGCTGCTGGGCTTTGCCATGATAGCGCGGGGAGTCCCAAAATTGGGGCACTGGAAGATGGAAACGAAATTGAAGTTTCTTTGATGTAGTAGAGAAAGTAGGTGGTATATTCAACAGACTGCTGATAGGAAGCGTGAAAACCTGAACGTATGAGTCTTGTGAAGAATGTGGAGCAGCACGGACTTGTCGTGAGTCTTTCCATTGTGTAACACGACAACTCAGAATGAGAAGGACCTCGTTCCTAGCGAGTTGTACCCAGCACTCAAAATCTACCTTGAAGATATCAATATCTTGTGTCTTCTGCTATATTAGCAACAAACACAGCGTATACCTTGGAAGTGCGATATAGCTGGCCAGGATACAACGAGCTTTCCCCATGTCTTAACTGATACCATCGGAGCAAAAATGACAGCGTGACGGCAATGGCATGCGTTTGATCTTGGACCCTCCATAATATTTTCTACACAATTGTAGCATGTTGTACAATGTCGCTCAAGAATGCAATCCCCTTGACGTTCTAACCTGGACCCTTATTTCTTTGCAGCTGGCTTCTCAGGTGTAGATGCAGGCGCTTTGGCGGGTGGTGACTTGGTGGCATCGGTCGGTTTTCCTGGCGGCTTGCCTTGGCTGCTGATGAGATCTAGAAAATGGTCCTCCGTCTGCTTGCCCTGTAAAAGAGTCAGCAAAAAACTAGTCGAGATATAACTTGTTGCGCTCTTCCTCGTCCACCCACCTTTTCAGCATCAGTTTCAGCATCCCATGCTCGGCCAAACTTTGTTCTGAAAGAGGCCAATCTTCCAGCCTCGTCCTCCTCGACGTTCAGTAGTTTCTGTGAACTCGGATTCCATAGTGGCGAGTTCCGTATATCCTTTGCGCTCTTGTATACTGGCTGTGGATTCGTGGTTCGTAGGGTAAATGAGCTGCCGTCGGAGAGGGTTATAAGTTGGGTGAAGGTGTAGGGTCGCTTTGGCCGGCGGAGAAGCGTCGCATGTCGTACTTGGGTCGTCTGATGTACCTGAGGCTGTATCGATTGTCGGAGGACGCGCAGTGCGCTCATCGAGGGGACTGGAGACGCCATGGTTGTGTGTGCTGGGCGGGCGTTGAAGTTCGGCAGGAAAGTTGCGGAGAAGAGACGGAGGTTAGCCTTGGCCGATCTAACATTTCCACTACAATGCGCCCGCTCCGTCATTCCCAGCACATTGCTCTCCCACAGTCGTGTCTTGTCCAACGGCACTGTCCTATTCGTCTCTGGCCTATGTAACAAATGTGTAACTTCTTGCTGTGAACATGGCGCTTTCACAGCGCCCGGCTTCGCGCTTTTTCGCCGCCTTCTACAGATGGAATCAACATGCCCGTTAGTTTTCCACATGGCATTACTACATGCATGCTAATTGTCTTCTTAGAACGTTCAAGGCCATGCGCCTCTGCCTATCGATACACTCCCCACGACACACGTTCCCGCAACGCCATCTGTGCCCCACGATACTATAATGCGACTCGTCTGTTGCAACAAGACAACATAGCAGGCACGCAGAAAACTGCACAAGAACAGGATGCCCCGATTGACTTCTCCGAGTCGGAGTTGGAGCAAGAGCAACTTAAGAATTCGGTGCGTGGTTTGATGCGTGATGTTCCGAGCTCCGTCGCAGTTCTTACCGTTGCGAGTATCGATCCAAAGACCAAGAAACACGTCCCTATGGGTGTTGCTGTTTCTTCACTCAGCACTGTCAGCCTGGACCCGCCTACTATCTCCTTCAATATCAAACAGCCCTCCAAAACCTTGGATGCCATACGGGCGACTGACGGCCTCTTCCGCGTTCATTTCCCCGCTGCAAATAGAAGCGGCGCGAAGCTTGTGGATCTGTTCTCCCGAGGGAACCATCCAGATGCTTACGATCTGCGATCCAAGCAGCTCAAACTCCATCAACCCATAAAGAAAATACAACATAGTATTCCGTCGTCCCTCGCACCGCAGGTCCTGGCAGGGTATGTACGGGCTGCAATGGAGTGTGAAGTTACACACGAGTTTCCCGTCGCAGACCATGTTATCCTGGTCGCAAAGGTTAATGGCCTAGAGCAGAAGACTGCGAAGGGTCCCGCAATCATGTACATTAACGGGGAATACCGGAGCCCAGAAGGCAAGAGTGTCTACGTCGCTGAAAACGCTCAACCTTCCGCAGCTAGCGCAGATATTGCGTCAGTGTGGGAATATCCATTGTTCCCAGGAGAGAAAGAAAGACGTCATTACATGGAACAAATCAAGGCCATCATCAGAAGCACTCCCGCTTACTACAAGGATCCATCTAGAGAGACCTCCAGGACCATCAACATTAACTTACCATACCCTCCTGCAGATTTCGGGATTGATCTAGAGCTTCTAATCGCAGAGTGCCGGCAAGAAATGGGTCTCGGAAGTCCACTGAGGCCTGGAGCTGAGGATAAGCAGGTCTTGAGTGAATTCTACGGGGTGCTAACGCCGTCAATGAGGGATCGAATCGTTGATCGGGCAAAGAAACTGGTAGCACTGGATGAGCGATACCTATCTCAACCTTATCGATCGTTCTTGTTCAACTTGGGCGTCAATCCCAACAGCAAAGACTTCCTACCAAGCGACATCATGAAGCCTTTACGAGCAGCAAACCTTGCACCGCGCTTCAAACAGGATCGAGAACAAGTGATTGGTGAAACAGAAGACATTATAAAAGCTGAACAGATTGAACACCGTCTGCGAGAGCACCTTCGATCAATGAAGTACGAGGACGCACGGAGGGAACCATTTGAAGTGGCTATGGAAGCTATTGGCGAACGAAAGGGGGCAGCCATGCATTTCAAGAAAGCACGGGCACGGTTACTTACCCAGAGCCACCCTACGCTTTTCGATGCTTCAGCCATAGACATCACTGGAGAAGTGACAGAAGAAGAACTTCGTGTGGTCTTGTGCCGCCTTATCAACTACCTAAACATCAAGTCTCAAATACACTTTCGACAAAACATCGAACGCGACCCGCGTGAGTTGTTGCGCCGAGTCCGCGTGGACCCTACTATTACGGGTATGGATATCGAGTTTCTGGTGGGCAAGATCAAGCATTTGTACCTTTCGACAAGAACATATCGAGACTTTCTTTTCGCGCTTGAGGAAACACTGCGACCTTGGTTTATTTGGAACGTGAGCTGGGACGATCTGGAAGAGCGAGTCAAGCATTTCGTCCAGAGCACTCCACTGAGGGCTATAGCTTGGTCAGCAAAGGGTAGGCTTGCTGCTATGGGTCTGCACTGGGACGCTACGGTTACGCTACCAAGCAACAATTCATCTAAGCAGGTGACTGAACAATCGCTTGTTAAAGGCGTTATTCTGGACACTCTCGTAGCAAAGGAGCTAAAGAATTACTATGGTAGTGGCACTGAGGAAGAGAATCAGGCTATCGCCAAGTATCTGAAGGAGACGTACAGCTTTGACGTCACACACAAACCGATGCAATACACATCCGCAGCCTCCGACTCTCAATCCTCAGCTGATGAGATGCAACAAGCTATGGCGACGACTCTAGAAACTTCTCAGGAAGAAGCTTGGTTTGACGACGGTGAACCAGGACAGCCGCCTGCGGCACAGGATGGCGCAACTCGTCGCAAGGCAGGTTGGACACGGAGAATCCGGAAGATAGAAGGAGACCGGAGTTTGAGAATCACGCGATTACCCGGCAAGAGTAAGCGCATCGAACACGGAGATAACAAGTAGCAAGGCAGGAAGCTTGGAGCACAGATTCCTTTCACTAGAGGAAGGGGTTCGTAATGTGATTCTAAGCTCCGATTGTATGGTCGATTTGTATACGATACCCAATGTACGCGATTTGCATGGAACCGGGAAACTATGGACAATGGGCAATAATGTACTATATCACTCTCTTCAGCCACAGCTTAGCACTATATTATCGAATTGACCTTGGAACAACACCCAAGTGAATTTCCGATCACGTGACTTCGG